GGTATCTTAACAACTAAAACAGACCCTTTATCTTCGATATCGTCAATCATCATTTTAACCATCGCATCTCTTCTCAACCCACCAAAAACATTAATCACCAATACTACTTTATTCAAAAGATTAATTTTATCAGAAGCAAATTTTATAAAAGTTCAAACTTGATCTTCTTCTAAAACTAGGTTCGTATCCTTTAGACTTTATAAAGTATCTTTCAGAAATGATATCCATCGATGGAAATTTGAAATGTTAATATTTTTATTCACAATCAACGTAGATCTAAGCATCGAGTACTTTGTTCATAGAGAAATATTTTGTTCATAGGGAAATATTTTTTAAAATAAAATAAAAATTAGATCGAAGCATTAAAATCAAAATTAAAACTTACCAGTTTCTGGAAGTAGACCAATAAAACAGTCTCGTTAATATTCCAAACTACAAATATGCCATAGGTACTCTTAATCGTAAATTGGCCGTTACTTCGACGGCAATGAATTTTGTGTAGCCTTGTAAAATATTTTGCAGAATTTCATCCATAGTTTTAATTAATTTTTATTTGACAATAAATCAATATTTGGTTTCCAATAGCAACTATAAACCACAGGTCACTAAGTAATAAAGTCTACCCGTACAGTGACAGTAGGAAATATTAAAGTTTATTTTGAGTTGAGTGAAGACTTTCTTAATGAACGCTTTTAATAATGCTAAATGCTGTTTGAATTTAGACGACTTAGGCCCGTTATTTCCATTGCGAGTTAAGTGCGAGTTACATCTAAACTTAAAGTTAAATTTGAAAATCTATATTTCAATATCTGGATTAGTCTAATTTGTGAGTTAACTCGCGTTTCAATTAACTCGAAGCTCAGGTACAAGTTAACCTGGATATTGTGAATTAACTTAACTAAATGTTGGTTTATTAGGAACACAGCTAATCAAATATTATAATTCTAAATAAAGACATACAAAATAGTAACGACAAACAATAATAAATGATCTAATAATTAATTTTCCTTCATTAATATCTCCATCTTTTTTGTAAAATTTTTATTTTTAATTTATGTTCTTCTGTTAACTTTTCCCTATGAAACCCAAGAAAACTTAGTTTTTCTTGAGTTAATTGTTCGAAAAGTAGTTATTTAAATGCTTGTCCTTGTCTTCTTTTCCCTGTTCTATTAATTTACTGTTAACTGGTTCTTTCAACATTTTGGGGGTGTATTCTGTCCAGTTGTTGGCTTCTCCTGCCCTCCCATCTGTGTTGACCATCCCATCGCTATCGACAAATTAGTGAGTTCATTTTCCATGTTCTTCATGAGGACTGACTCATCTTGATCGCAATCGAAAAGGGAAGTTAAACCATATCGTCGTTTATCTGACAAAGAGGCGTAACTCAAAAAAAATCGTTTTTGAGTTATACCAGAATGATCACCAAAATCGACTTTATAATCTCACAAACTGGCGTAGCTCTATAATAAATAGGTACAAATAAAGTTTTAGCATAAATCAGTTTCGGCGTAACTAATATTTTTGCATTTTGTGTGCCGTACAAACTGGCGTAATTCAATTCACACCGTTTTGTTTAAAAATGAGATACGCCTCTTTGTCAGATAAACGACGATATATTTGATCACCTAATATTTCTTCCAATGTTTTGTCTATTTCGTCCGTATCTTAAATTTTACCGGACATCCCCCAGTTTGTCATATACTGTTCCTGTTTGACATTATTTTGACTTTCGATGTTTTTTATACTTATTTATTAGACCTTTTTATCTCGAACAGGGCTCGTGCTTATCGTTCAAAACCAGATTAAGCAGCAACTGATCTTCTTTCTGTTTTACTAAAATTGGTTGGTCTCGATCTGGACACTTTAAATAACGGGTTTTATTTGTTTAACGATTTTTACTGATTTAAAATGTTTACACTTTTCACGTTAATCCTTATTTAAATGTATATTTATTTTATCTAACAGGTACAATTTATATTTACAGGGACTGTATGAAATTTATTTCTTCATTCGGTTTAACACTGATTATTGGAAAACCGGTAAAAACTCAACCCAGGATTTCCTCTCGAAATACACCCAACAACGCAACAAATCGTGCCACGGTTTTTTTTTTCGATATTTTTTAACATTTTCCGGCTTTATTGTATTATTGTCAAAACACTCGGTTGTAACATACGCGTTTGACAGCTGATTATTAAAAGTTGTAGTTTTGTTACAATGATAACGGCCGGGTGGTGGCGCTACTAGCGATGCTTCTTTAGTGTATAATTCAAGGTTAATTTAAACTTCGCTCCTAATCGTTTTTTTTTTAATAAATAAAGGCAATTAATATTATTATTTTTATTAATATTATTACTATTCTTATTAAATGATTAAGTTAAAAAGAGATATTTTCTAAATTGTCTTTAATAATATCCTACTCGTATATTCGAATAAACAAAAGGGTTTTACTTATTATCCTCCCTCATAAAAAAGTTATATTTAAAAAAAAATTCTTAAAAATTTAGGTTCGCTAAAAATTCCTTTCAAACATTCTTACTTACTGTTTTTTTTAATAACATACGCTTGCATTTTTTGTCCTTAGCAAACAGAGAAAATAAGCAAAACAAAAAACAAAAGATTTTTTATATAAAGAGACTCATAAAATTTCATTAGCATTATCAAACATGAAAGCATAAGATTCACTTTGTTTTTATTCGCTCGATTTATGTAGCTCGAATATTGTCTTTACTTTCTTTCGTTAAAGCTTATGCACAGTTTTTACTGCCAGTTTAAAATTAATTCAATGAAAACTCTTTACCACTTATTTATTTGTCAGGACAAGAGTCAAAACTTTTTCATGAAGCACACCTGCTCGCAAGAAGAAAAAAATTTCACCCCAAACTTACTGTTTAAATGTGATCCACAATTTGCGAATCAAAAAATACTTTTATCTCCACGCGGTCTATAATTTAAACTTTATTGTTGTCAACATTCGAAAAAGAAATACCTTGTTATGGCCTAGGCCGATAAAAAATTTTATGAGGCAAGTAATTAGTTCGATTTTTTCTCGCTAGGGGTATTGTTTTGACAAATTAATCCTTTTCTGAGAAATTAACGTACTAAACTGGTTTAATTTATTTATAATAGACACTAATTTGTTTGTTTTACTGTTAATGTTTAATAGTTTTCATTAAATTATTGTAAAATTAAATATGAATAATAAAACAAAAAGTGAGGTTAGGCAACCAAGAAAACGCACGATTCTTTTTCTACGATTTAAATTATCTTTAAGTTTTTATTTGCTTTAAGTTTTCAGTGAAATTAAATGTTAAACACAGCTTAAACATTCCAAACTACCTATTTTTTAAATAAAATTCCAAACAAATTGAAATTAGATACCTATTTATTAAACAATTAATTGAATTCAATGTAATAGCAAACATCCATTTCTACTTAAATCATGTAGCTAGGTATTGTCAAACTTTACTGCTTCTAAAAGCAATAATAATTATAATTATTGTACATTTAATGTAATCTTTAGCTAATAAATAAATGAGATTTTAAAAAAGTGAGGTTAGGCTGCTTTGATTTTGAATTAAATTGACCTACACTCACAGGCAAAATACTCGATCCACACAAATTTTCGATGAATTTCAATCGCAAATAACTTTTTTATTTGATTTTGGATTTAAACAAAATTTGTTTAATATTAAAGAATATTGTAGAAAAATTAATGGAGAATCGCTCACATTTTAAAAATTACTAAAAAATAGACGTACGTTTATAATATACAGGTTTAAACAAAAAGCTGTTTTTTACCATAAGTTTAAAACACTCTGTAGAGTGGCAAAACCGTATATTGTTCTAAATTAAGTTTTAATTATCAAGTCATATCTATTCTTAACAGTTTTATTTTTGGTTCACCTCTATATATATATTTTTGTGGAAAATATGGAATTTTTAAAAAAACATTGCAATTTCCAATATTTTTCTGTATGAAGAACTAAGGTTGCTATGGTCCATCCATAGGCCATGGAGTGACAGTGACAGTTTTGTTGAATCATCCCATACATGGACATGTCATACACGGCTTTCAAAAGCTATCAAATTGTTTTTTGCAAATTAATGTTTAAATTTTGAGGTCTTCTTACTTTAAAAAATGGATTTGTCTCCGACTGATGTTGCCAGAGCCATTAATTTAATCCGGGATGGACGGTCACAGTATTACGTGGCAAGAGTTTTAAACGTCACAAGAAGTAAAGTACAAAGGGCAACATCATTCGGAGACATTTTTAAAAGTAAGAAGACACCTCAAAATTAACACATTAATTTGCAAAAAACAATTTGATATCTTTTGAAAGCCGTATATGACATGTCCAAATATGGGATGATTCAACAAAACTGTCACTGTCATCCTCCATAGCCTATGGATGGACCATAGCAACCTTATTTCTTTGTACAGAAAAAATATTGGAAATTGCAATGTTTTTTTTTAAAAATCCATATTTTCCACAATAATAAATATATCGGGGTGAACTAAAAACAAAACTGTTAAGAATAGATGTGACTTAATAATTAAAACTTAATTTAGAACAATATACGGTTTAGCCACTCTACAGAGTGTCTTAAACTTATGTTAAAAAACTTATTTTGGTTTAAACCTGTATATTATAAACGTACATCTATTTTTTTGTAATTTTTTAAAATGTGAGCGATTCTCCATTAATTTATCTACAATATTCTTTAATATTTGTTTAAATCCGATATCAAATAAAAAAGTTATTTGCGATTGAAATTCATCGAAAATTTGTGTGGATCGATTATTTTGCCTGTGAGTGTATATAAAGTGCTTTGAAGATAAAATGTTGTATGCCATTCGGCCAAGAAGTGCCTTTTTGTGCTTTGCTCAATTGTAGGCCTCCGCTACGCGTCGGCCTTCAAACCTTGAGCTTAGCACAAAAAGCCTTACTTCTTAACCTAATGACATAAATAACTATTTTCTTAAAATCTTATTTCAGGTTGCTTACATTAGAATCTCCTACAAGCTTCGATATAGGTTCGCAGCTGGTTTCGTAAGCAGCGAGGACAACTCGAACAGAAACCGAAGGCAGCTTCGTGGGAGAAGGTTACAAAAAACCAACCTTCTGCTTGGCTCCATCGCACTTATATTCTGCATAAGCTGGATACCCCTGAATCTCTACAACTTACTCGCTGATTTTAATGTTATTAGTAGCTTCAGCAAGCAGCAAACCAGGATATGCTACGCAATTTGTCATATGATAGGTGAGAAATTTATTTTGTTGTAGATTGTATAGAAGCTAATTATTTTAATTTTAATTTAAATATTTTTTTTTTATTAAAACAAAAAAGATTTTGAATATTGCTCCACATATCGTTGTATGTCGACAATGTTGCCAATTTATTAGAACTATGTGGGAGAATGTTATACATTTGTTAAGTTTATGATGACATTGTGACTCGAAAAGCTCGTCAATAAACTGAAATGTCAGATGTCCGTTTCCGGTTCAGAATATTTTAGTTATTATAAACAAGAATAAACTTGACAGCAAATATTAGTTCCATCTATATGCACCGACGCGTCGGAGCATAATAAATATTCAGTAGTTTCATATTTAATTTCTAATATATAAAACAAGTTTGCATATGAATAAATTATTTTACCAAAAGTACACTGGGGAAAATATTTATATAATAGTATACTATATACCTATATACTTGGAAAATAATTATTTTTGTAAATTCTAGCAATGATTTTGCAAAAAAATCTGTCATTTGCTTAGTTTTATTACTCTACTCTCTTAAAATGAGTTAGTCAAGTAATATTTGACTAATTGTCATAGCGAAAAAGCAGTAACTAATAATTAGTCAAATTCTACTGAATAAAATAGTCAAATTAGTAGATTTAAATTTAAAAAAAGTTTTGACCCAGCCGGGGATTGAACTCAGGTCTGTCACTTGTCAAGCTGTTGTCATAACCCATTCGGCTGTCAGCCGCTCTTATAAAAATCAATTTTATTTATCAATAAATATTGTTCATAATATTTTAAAGTTGAATATATTATATGTGTTGCTGTTTTGAGCTAAACTTTTTGCATCTTTATTTGTTTTTACGGGTCATTTAACCATGGAGCTTAGGTATATGCATTTAATTTAAATAATACTTTGTTGTTGGCCGCAAAGGATTAAAGAAATTAGTTACTTTTTTTACTAATCTTAAATTAGTCAAACTTTAACTATTTACTTAGTAAAAAATAACTATTTAAAAGTGAAAAAGACTATTTTATTAGTAAAAAATGCTGGTACTAATTTAAATAGTAGAATGTTGACTATTTCATTTTTAGAGAGTAGCTTATTTATATTTTTTTCAAAAACTTTTAGTAATTTGTTGTTATGGATACGTTTGTAACCATATTTCTTATAGTAAATTTAAAAGTAAACTACGTACACGTCATCAATCAGCTGATCGGGCACGGTTGTCAATGTGATGCTAAAATCCTTGCATCAAGGGAAAGTGGTAGTGCAACTATAGGGCGATAGATGGCGTTTACATGAATAATGCCAAAATGTCAAAAGTCTGAGTTTGTATAACCTATATGATGCACCGCCAAAAGTATGTTTTTAGCCATTTTTAAAGACATTTTCTGATATAAAACCCAAAAATTTTGCCATCTAAAGTCAGTCTCTGGTATATATATTATTATTTCATGTATCCAACATATATTTTGTTAAATATTCTAATATATAATTATTAATAATCCTATTTACCTATTATCCCGTTCTGCCTCAAAATAGCGTATTAAGGATGACACCAACTCTTGACTCCGACTATTTAAATGCTTCGGCATTTTAAATATAGGAAACACAAAAAAACGATATATACAAACACAAAAACGGCAATGAAAACTTAAACGATATAAAATAACACAAACAACAAACAAAATAAACGAAATAATACACGAATTAAACGAAATATTCAAAAACACAACTGACAGCTTCGAAATTCTAAAACGTCAAATTCTTTTTTATGTGTCATTTAAATATGAAAATTTTGAATGTAAACATGACAACATCACAATTGTTGCCAACTTAATTTGGTTAAAATGCATTCAAATATTCAATTACAGACTTCGATTTAGTCATTTAGTGTTGGTACCAATGCGTAAAATTTTTGTTTTATTGATGACGTGTACGTAGTTTACTTTTAAATTTACTATATATATTATGTCACGTTGTCAAACGCATGTGATAAGCTTTTAAAAATTATCTTTTACTAATAAAAAAACTATGAATAATTCTGAGAGCGAAAATACAGACATTCGTAAAAATAAGACGTTCCTCTATAATAGAACTTCTATTATAGAAGTCAAAACATCGCTATGAACCAAGTGGTTTAAAGAAAGCAAGGGAGAGAACTTAAACGAAAATGTCCTGTTGGCATATTTTATTTAAAGAAATGCAAAATGAAGGTATTGTAGTTATTTTTAATATAAATATTCGAAGAAAATGCCGATCGGCACAAATTATACTTAATTTACTTACCGATCTAATAACGCGTCGGTAATTACTTACCGAAGCGTTATTCCTAGCAACCAGTAAATACAACCTACCGTTCTATAAATAGATGTGGGTGATTCTACAAAAGTTGGACAACTTGATGTCATCAGTCAATAGAGTAGGTATTTTAATATTTTTTGTAAATATTTTAGTATATTACAAAAGATCTAGGTTTTTTAACTTGTCCACCAAATTTTAATGTATTTTTTCAAAAGCACGTTAGTAGAAAAACAACAAATATTCAAAAAATCAGTACCTTGGCGTGTCACAACTCTTGAATCAAATATTTGAGTGGTTTTATTTTAAAATATATTCAATTTTTTAATTTCACTACAAACTATAAAACATTAAATAATGTATGTTTCATATTTTGTCATAGATTCAAATAATAGCAATTTTTAAAAAATTGATAATCTTTGTACTCACTTTTACCCGTCAGTTCTGTGTTCAATATTAAAATTCAAATTCAAAATTCCTGCGAAATATTGAACTTTAATCGTCAAGTCCTCGTTTTAACTCAAGTTTTGGTAAAAAATTACCTACAGAGCCCGCCCTTTGTACGACAGTCATCTTGAAAACAATGCAAGCGGCGAAGTTGTGGTGAATGCACGTATAGTTCCAGTCAAAATTTCAGTACTGTGGTGTGTAGTTATTTTATTACGTATATATATTTCATTGTAATTTATATAAGAATATATGTGATTTGTTGATAAGTAGCATCCACTAATAAAAAATATCAGTAAAATACTTAATTCCGAATTATAATCTCAAATTTGTATCCCATTCATCAGTACCGTGTCGTCAGTTCCATGTTCAATGTTTCGGTTATCTTTTTTTCGCAAACTTCAATTTAAATTCTGCTTGCGCAGAACTTGTTTATTTAATGTCATTATAAACTCATATAAATTTGGGGTGGGTCCCATATCTAACAATTGAGATATCGGTATACCCAAAATCCACCAGCCGCCACTGATGTGTGGTATTATTTGATTTTAAGATATTTAATGTAAAATATGCTCAAAGTTACAATAAATCTTATATTTTTCAATAAATATATTTAATTAGTACCCTGGTATACTCGTCACTTCCCTTTCATTCAAATTTAGAAAACACAGATATTTCAGAAACTGTTTGAAAAAGTGACTGGCCCGGTCTGGAACAGTATATTTATTATATTATCTATATATATATTCTCATAACAAAATACTGTTTAATTTTCTTCGAAAACTATATAAACAAAATGAGGTCAAAAGTTGCCCAACTTTTGTAGAATCACCCATATGGTAAATCATAGATTATAGCATGGTCGTGCAAACAATTACCTATATTTATTTTTGTAAATTAAGTTGCCAATTTAATATTTTAAAATAAAAACAAAAAGGTAAAAAGGGTTTTTAAAATTATAAACAAGTAAAGTTTATTTTTTTATCTGGACTGCGGCAACATCGGCAACATTCATTAAAACAAACTGAACTAAATAGTTATAAATGTAATTATAATGTAATTGTGGTTATGTTTAAATTATTGTAGCCTACAATTTGTAGGTTACATTGAACGGTTGTCAAGTTGAGTTGTCAAAATTCGTAGTTAAAAATTTAATTTGGCTTTGGTGGTGCGTAGATTAGTAAAATCATATAAAAAAGTAGTTAGATATATTGACTACGGCCCAGGAGAGACAAAGTATTCCTAGCGGATAATAATCTGCGTTTTGAAAAGAATTTATATAAAGGAAATTAAAATTTTATGTTAACACACGTGAATGTTGTCCAGTCATTGGACTCCAATGGTAAATGGGTATTTAATGTGTGATTTAATATTTGTAAAACCAAAAACGTTACTTTTTTACTCAAAAATGTCCATAAGGCGATGTACTTTTTCTGTTATTGAGGCATTTGGCATAACTTCATCCAAATGAAGTTTGCCTTTAAAAGTTCTTTTACTTTAGAATCTGATATTATTTTTGGCATACTTATCTTTTAATATCGATATTTTTTAATAATTAACATAGAGATAATTAACAAGTAAATCATGAAGTAAATTACACTGGTTTACAAATTAAAATTAAAAAAATGTACCTTCGCTGCCACTATTTTTTTCTAATGTATTGTGACCTGTTAAACTTAAAAATCAAAAAAAAAAAAAATTTTATGGCAAGGTTTTTGAGATAAAATTTTTTCTTTAATATTTTGGTTCTTTAAGAAAGCAGCATTACAATTTGGGTCATATCTCGGGTTAGAAATGGCCAATCTGGTTGAAAAAAGTTTAAAATTAAACATATTTGAGTCGCCAACAAATATCACCTTATTAGTGACCAATCAGTTAATAAGCTTAAGTTCAATGGGCTCAAATATTGGAAAAAGTCGTTTTTTTTGGAGAAAAATGAGAATGTAACATTATTTTCTTTGCCAAGGATGAATACAAATCAACAAAATATGTCAATTTTTAAATTATCTACGTGGAGTTCAAACTGTTATAAAGAAAACAACATATTTTTAAAACAAATCTATTGATAATTATTATAATTAAAGGGGTTAATGCAAAAAGTGGACAGGTAAATTTTTTTCAGAAATTAAGTTTTTTACAAAAAAAAAGGTTCTATTTGCCTAATAGAACCTTTTTACTGTTAAATAAATTTTATTTTATATTTTAATATTAAAATACAGTGTGTTCCTTTTAAAACTAACCCCCCTAAATTCTCGGAAACTAGA